CGTTCGTGCTTCGCCCCGCAAGTGGGGCTGGGCTGGGGGTGACTCACAGAGCTTGCAGAGTTGGGCCGGTCCGGGGTGTTTCACTCCGTTTCTGCGCAGTTTCTGCTGGCTTTCTTGGCCTTTGTTGTCTGGGCTGGTCATTCGTTCCCGCAGCCGGGCTTGGGTTCTCTCAGGAGTCCTCTTCTGTGTCGGCCCCAAAACCTCGAACCTGCTGCCCCTTGTTTGTCGATGTAGGATCGTTGTTGAAAGAATTATTCGCCTTTTGTTGCTCTTGGAAATGCAATTAATAGATGTAGGATGGTTGTTGAAAGAATTATTCGCCTTTTGTTGCTCTTGGAAATGCAATTAATACTCTGGTATCACAGCGCACAGCTCTCAGGATCGCGCTGTCTCCTGGCACGGCCGCTCCAGACCCGTCGCCATGTTCCAACCTATGAACTTTTTGAAGTACCTTTGTATATGTACCATTTCTAAACTTTATTTAATAGTTTAATTTTATGAACATTCAACTTGCTGTCTTACCATTATATTTAGAGATAATCGCAAACATATTTTTAGAATGCTTGCAAAGATTCTTTAATGTTGATTCATTTAACTACTATAAAATATTCCATCATGTACCATAATTTATCTCTCCTGTCATTCCAATTCTTATGCTATTTCAAACATGTTCCTATGAAAAATCTTGCATATGTCACCTTGTACACATATGAGAAAATTTCTCTAGGGCAATGTTTTTCAAAGCGTTTTAAAGGGCTTGATCTACTGTGAAAAATACATTTTATATCACAAACCCAGTACACATATACATATGTCTAGCTATCAAATGAAACAAAAGTTTTAGTAAATAATGTTCATGTTTACTACTTACACAATGTCTACTGGTCAGGACTTTCTAAGTTAATTTTATGAGGCCCTAGTGAATCATACCCTGCAGTTTGATTTAATGTCTTATTAGCAGTCATGAAATCAATTTAGTGAATTGAGACCAGCATTTAAAAAAATTAAATAGAATATATTTTGTAGTACTTTTTATGTCATGGGACTTATATTAAAACTTATTTCAGATATGTGTAAAATGTATATACTGGTTATTTCACGTATATGTAAGCACATATATGTGTTTCTTATTGTGAGTTGAAAATAAGTTTAAAAAACAAATACCGTTCTAGACTAACTCCTTGGGAATTAGTGGAATTAAGGGCCAGGAAAGATCTGGCTACCCAGTATAATTTCATATCCCTCACTTTCTTTGTCTAAATTTAATTGATAGTAAAAGAATTATACCTGAACACTGCAAAGACCAGGATATGGAAGTCGTCTTGAAAAGAAAGATTTCCATAGCTTGGGCTTGGTGACATCAAAATTTATCCTTAGTGGAGAATCATATTCTTGAATATTAAACCAAATCTAAAAAAGACAAGATGACATTAGCATATATATCAGCAGATATGTATGCATGTATGTGTGTGTGCATATACATATGTATGGTGTAGAGAAAGGCATCAGAGAGAGAACAAGTGTTCACACAAGCTGCACACTGTCATTTTTTTTTTGATTTGTAAAATTTGTATGCATTTTATAATCAGTGGCATCATACAGTTGTCATTGACCATTTTTTCACATTTTTTATATCTGAAGTTGGGCGTGCCTTACTGTTGATTGTAGATTGGGTGAAATACCTGATGATAAGTAACTTAAACATTTTTAGGAGAAGGCAGACAAGGCTACTTCTTTATTAAGCTAGCCTTTCCTGATCCTGCTCTTCCCAGCCTCCTCATTGAGTGTCCACCTCTTTGCTTCCACAGCACTCTGCAGTCTCTGAGACACTTGTCTTGTTGAGGCAGTGTAGAGCATATTGGTTCTAGAACCAGACTACTTGCATTTGAATTTTGTTTCAACATTTGCTAACTATGCGACCTTGGATGATTTATGTAACTTCTTTGTGCATCAGTTTCTTCCTCTATAAGTGCAGGATAATACTAGTATCTACCTTACAAGGTTAAGCAGATTCAGTGAGTTGATTCATCTATACCTTAGAACAATGCCTTGTATGTAGTAAGTGCTCAATAACTGTTAGCTATTTTATTATTTATTGTTGTTTATAATTGCCTGTCTATTAATCTGTGTCCTCACTAGACTATTAGACTGTTGCCTTGAGGACATTCACCTTGTACCTATTTACCATTGTGTCTTTAGCACCTAGCACAGCTCCTGGCATGTAGTAGTTATATTGAATGACTTTGTGCATGATGGTAAATATGTCCATTCAACACATTTAATCAGGTACCTACTATGTTCAGCCTCAGTTCTAATCACTGGGGATAAAGTAGTAAATGAAACAGTTCCTACCCTCATGGAGTATCTAATGAGAAAATATAGCAAACAAATAAATACATGGGATGTCAGGTGGTGGTGCATGATGTAGAAGATTATATCATTGGCCCCAATTCTTCACCCTTTCTTATACTGCATACTCTTTCTCATGTTACTTTACAGTTTCTCCCACTAAAAGGGAAGAAATATACTTCTGTGCCCCTTGACTTTTGGCCAATGGACTGGGACAAAACTGTCAGTGTGCAGCTTCTGCGTCTAAACTTAAGAGGCTTTGTATGTGCTTGCTTGCCCTTTTGTGCCTCTGCCATTGTCATTGCCCTGAGTCCCAGAATAAACACACAAGGCAGAGCTGTTCCAGCAACCCACAGACATACAGTGAGAAGCACAGCTGGTCTAGCCACCACCACTTGCTGCAGAGTTACCCAGCCTTGATTAGCAGACTCTTCCCAACCGATCCACAGATCCATGAGAATAAATGTTGAAGCCATTTAGTTTGGGGGTGGGTTTTTACCATCTTCATTGTGGCAATAACTCATTGTGCAAGGGCTATGGAGAAAACTAAGATGCAGGAACAGATGAAATTTTAAGGTGGGCAGGGTGGTTCTCACTGGAAAAGTGACATTTGCTCAGAAATGTAAGAAGTGAGGGAGAAATGTATGAAGCTATTTAATAAGGTGAGTGTGGTCATTCATGCGGAGGAAACAGCAAATAGAGAGTGTACTTGGTGTGTATGAGGAATAGCAAAGAATACCAAGTGGCTTTAGAGGAGTGAGCAAGTAAGAGAGGACAGCAGAGGAAGGGGGAGGAAGTGGGTAGGGTGGGTGTCAGATCATTGAGGCCTTGTGGGCCATTTTGAAGATGTAGGCTTTGACTCAAATGAGCTAAGAAGCTATTGGAGTACTTTGAGCACAGGAGTGACATAAGTTGCCTTTCATTTTAACAGGAATTTTCTTTGCTTTTTTGAGACTAGTCAGAAGAGAGTAGGGGCAAATGGTGTAGTCTCCAGTTAGAAGGCTATTTTGAATAATCAAGGTGATAGCTACAGTGACTGTGCCAAAAATGGTAGAAGTGAAAGTGGTGAGATTCTGGGTATACTTTGAAGGTAGAGCCAATAGGATTTGCTGATGGACTAGATGTAGGAGAGAGACAGAGACAGAGAGGAAGAGAGGAATCAAAGATTAACTCCAAGGGTTTTGGCCTAAATAACCGGACTGATGGAGTTCCTATTTAGAGATGGGAAAGACTAGAAAAGGAAATCAGGAGTTTGGGTGTGGGCATGTCAGGTTTGAGACGTGTGTCTGACATCCAAATGAGGATGTTGGGTAGTTGGTTGGATATCTGAGTTTGAAATTCTGGAGAGCTAGATGAGCCGGAGATATACATCTGGGAATCATCAGCACATGTATGGTGTTCTACGGAAAAAGTATAGATAGAAAAGAGGTTTGATGAGCTTTAAGGATCTCTAGTGTTTCCAGTTTGGAGAAATAAGGAAAGAGCAGCAAAGGATATGGAGAAGTGGCAGGCAGAGAGGTAGGAGGCCTTGATGACTTAGAATCCAAATCAAGAAGTTGTTTTGAGAAGACAAGATCTTTCAGAACTACATTTGGCTATAGGTTAGGGAATGTGCAGAAAAGTAGTGGGAAATAGTACTGGATAGAGATGGGGTCATATTATATAGTAGTTTGAAATCCAGGGTGAGAAGTTTCTGCTTAAATTGGCATGCAGTCAAGTGTCCCTAGTACTATTTGAGCCGTAGAATAATGAAAGCTGAACATCCAGGAGCTTAATCAGGCATCTGTACCAAATAGTTGACTGAATTGGAGATAGATTGTTGAGTTGGTTAGTTATAGTAATGTAGGGTGAAATAATAATGACATGCCCTGGGAAACAAAAGAAGTAGAATCTATATGATTTGGCATTTATAAATAGGATTTAAGTGGGCAGAAGTAAGGGAGAGGGAAAATCAAGGACAATTCTGGGTTTGAATCTGGGTAACTGATAGCCATAAAAATACAATGGTAATTTAAAAGTTCATGGAAAAATGGAATTAAAAGATAATCTGAACCTTTCCATGTCCTTTTTGAAGTACCCTGGTAAGAAGGAGGAGGAGCTGTTTTTTGGAGGCAAAGGAGAAATGATGTGAGTTTTAGATGTGGAATCTGAGATTTTGATAAAACACCTGGGTGTCTAGCAAGCAGTTGAAAATTCACGACTTGAGGATTCTGGGGTTGGTGACAGAATTATGGCTTCTCTGCCAGGATAAACTAGATGGAGCCACAATTAATAATAATAGATATGGTAGTAGAAGAAGTCTAAATACAGAATCCTCAGGAACATCTTTCAAGGGGGTGAATGGGCAGGAGGGGAGGAAGAGCCAGTAAAAGAAATGCAAGAATCTATTTCAGAGAAGGGGGAAAGTGGTTTTTTTTTTCATGAAAAGGGATTAATCATGTCATATGCCATGGAAATGGGGTGGAGAGTGAGGACTGAGAATAAACTATTGGATTTATTTATTCATTAGCAAGACAATGATGCTTCTCAGAGTTTAATTGCATGGGCAGGCAAGAGAAGTAGATTTTAGTGGGTTAAGGTCTGAGTGTGCTGAGAAAGTGGAGGTAGGAAATATAACTAGAATTTAAAGAACTCTGGAAGGAAAGGAAAGAGAGGCAATATTAGTTCAGGGTATAGCCAGGTTGGGAGAAGCATACTTTGGAATTGCTGGACTCCTGAGCATATCAATAGGTAGAAAAGGAGAGAGAAAAAATACAGGGGTAAGTTGGATCAATTAATGGAGCCAGGTTCTGGAGCAGAAGTGGAAACACAAACAGGTAGAAAAGGATGAGACTTATCCCTTGGAAAAGGAGTGAAGGAAGAGGAAGGCTGACCAAACAGGTTGTGTGGTGGTGTAGAGAACAGTTCAGCAAAGCCAGGGTGAGGCCCTCCACGGAGAGTGGGCCAGGCGTAGAGCAGTCCAGAGCAGCCGCCATGGGCATGCAAATCCTCACAAAACTTTGGTCTTATGAGAATCAGTCAATCATACAGTATCGTTTTGAGAGCTAATAATTTTGACAGAGAATGGAGTTCCTTGAAGGCTTGATTACTAATGACCTTAAAATGATTCTCTAAATGTAGATGGAGCTTAATAGATTATTTATGATAATGATAATGATCTTAATTAAAAATAATAATTAACAGGAGAATAGTGCTCCATAGTGCTCTTTTCACATTTGTAATTAATAGTAGTTGCCATTGGCTGAACACCTATGAGAGACAGGTACTTTGCTGGATGCTTGGCATATATTGTCTCTAATTTTAGCAGTAACCCTAAAAAATAGACCAGTGGTCTTCAAAGTAGGGTGCATACCCCTGGGGTGTGGGGGAAAAAAACCTTAATTTTCTAATTATTTCTTTTTACTTTTAAAGTTGTTTGTATAATATGAATAATATATTGATGCACAAGTAAATATATATAATTTGTAAATAAAAGTACATACACTGGGGATGCATGTGCAAATGATTTTTACTGATAGATGCACAAATTTCAGAGACCACTATGATAGATGATGATTATAAAAACAATCAGCCAATAATTAAAGAGTTGTTAGTATGTGTTAGATGCTTTACATCGATTATCTCATTTACTTCTCACAACTAAACTAATGACTTTACTATTACCTCCATTTTACCAATGAAGAAACTGAGGCTGTGAGAGACTAAGAAACTTTCTCAAGCTCACATAACTAGTAAATGATGAAGATGGGGCTTAAACTAAGGCAGTTTGACCCCATAACTCGTGTTTTTAATCACTGCTTTATATAGTACCCTTAATGATTAAATATCCCCCAAAACTGGGTGCAACCAGAATCACCTGAAAATACTGCAGGTCGGGTGGTCTCTAGGAATCACCCTTTAAAAAAGAAAGAAATTCAGTCTTTTCAGGTGATAAACTTGCCCCATTTAGTTCTCAAAACTTTACGAGATGGGCATTATAATCTCTCTTTTAGAAAACTGAGGACAGAGCCAGGACACAAACTCAGATCCTCTGAATCTAAATCCTATATTCTTTCTTTAACTTCATTCTGTTTCTCTGCAAGTTAGGTGACTAATTCAACCACAAGTTTTATTTAGGACAGTTGTGCCACTGTGCTTGACAGTTGATTTCTTTAATTGGTGTATGTGTGTGCACACGTGTATATATTTATTTACATTTATATAAATTTTTTGATACATGAAATATTACTTAAACCAGCAGGCCAATTAAAAAAAATCAATAGTCAACCAACCATGTTTAAAAGGAAATGGTAATACTTACATTATCAGGACCTATTAAACAGCCCACACTTTTCAAGGGACAGAATGTATCAAATTGTGCGTAAAAATGTCCACTGCAGGGATTCCATATTAAATAATGACTTTGCTCCTGAGTTAGCACATAGGCTGTTGGACCCTGAAGGAAAATAGCCATTAAAAACAGTTTCCAACTAATTATGATGCAATTAAGGTCCACTAGTGATTTGCACAGACAATTCATTATTTTAGTTGGACCCCTAATTCCTAAAATCCCAGGGCAAATGGTGAAAATTAGTTTGAAGTTCTGGGTTGTGCTAGATTTAAAAAATAAAATCAAATGTTTATTTTTGCAAAATTCTTGGATGTGATACTAGTGCAGTGCAGTGACCGAATAAGGATAATAGTCACCTTACCCAACCAATATATGTTAAAATTGGCTGAAGAACTATTATTCATGGAAATAAGCAATCACTTGGCAACTGGCATTTTCTCTTTAGAGTAGGATTGTCATTTAAGTATATAGAAGGCTGATTATGTCTGAATACTATTTCTAATACAGTAACTTACATTTGATAGATATTTATAACTATGTAAATATGTAGAAGATTTGAAAGGATATATATCACCTGGGAAAGGGAAATGGGCTTGAGGGTTGGAGCCTGAAGAGGGACTTTACTTTTACTTGGCTTAATGTATTGTTAGATTCTTTTTTTACAATAAGTATTTATTCATTTATTGTTCTTGTGTGGTTTCACCTGATGCTCAAAATAGCCTTCTGGCAAAGGCAGGGCAGAAATTATCCCAGTTTCCTTATAAAATTCAGGATTGTGAAGTGACTTGTTTGGGGTCACACAGCTAATGAGGAATGGGCACAGAACCTTGAACCCAGGCCTTGTGACTTCTCTGCCCAGTGTTTTTTCTCTTGTACCAGCTACCTGGAAGATAGTGATGGAGAATGATTTTGAATATGGATATGATATGACTTTATTACCTGTCTAGCAGTAACTCATGTTATCTAATTCCCAAGGATTCCTAGAGCCCTGTGGTGTGTTTTTGAAACACTCTTTGGATAAGCTGCCTCAATCCATGTGACTTTTATAAACTTGTACCCAAGATTACTCATAATGCCCAGAATTTAGGGATATTTGCAACGGGCTAGAGAAAAAGTTCTAATAGTTACTAAGTCTCCAATCTAATAAAATAACAATAATAACATCAAAATATAGCTGCTAACATTCTTTTATTTCCTTCTGTGGTTAACTGGCTTATTCTCTGTTGCCTTGTAGGTTAGCAGCAGATGCCTGTGGAAGCAGCAGGCATGAATGGGGAAATCTCTAACCATACCAGACTGCTTTGAATCCCCTTCACTCCTTAGCATGAAGGACACTAGATCGCTAAGCGAATCAGAATTCTTGGGAACATGGATGGGAGGATGCTTATACTAAAAGGACAGAGCTAGGTGGGGGTTTGGGGTGGTAAAGGGTTCAGGTTTGCCACAAAACAGTCTGAAGCATTCTGTAGGGCCCTGAGTACCACTGTAAACCATTTCATGTCTTACCACTGGTAGTTCTTCTCTGCCTGTTATGGCATCTCCAGGCTACTTCCCTAGCAATTCAAAGGATGGTTATGAAAATAAGTCCTGTCCATGATTTGGAACATACAACCAGGTTAGACAACTATACTCCTTTGTTAAAGCTAGCCTATGTGTTCTTACCTCCGGAATAGCATTGCCCATCACCAGCCAGGCCTTCTTACCCAGGGACAGAAAATAATTACATAGTAATACTGCATGCTCTTCTTCATCTCCTGCCAGTAGATCAAGAAATTGCTGACAGAAGGAAAAAACAATATATGTTGTATTGACTGCTTTATTCTGGATTGGCTATACAGGATTTTAATAAGTCATATTTGAGATTAGTGCCTTCAAGGATAAAACCAATTTTTGCAGTCTCCCCAAATTTTGATTCTATGTTAATAATTCATTTAAAAAAACAAAATTAACAAAAACACTTTTAGTGAACATGGTGTTCTCTGACATTGATGATGACATTTCTGGAATCAACAATCACTATGATTGGGGTGGGGTGGGTGGAACAAATTTCATTTTTACTTTTCATTTTGAGTGTATATATGATAGCTCACTATGTGCTAAACACTCTTTAAAGCATTTTGTATGCATTAACTCATTTACTCCTAGAACAGTCCTTTGAGAGAGGTACTCTTATTTTTACATTTTACAGATGAGGAAGTACAGGTACAAATCAATAAGGTAATATCTAGAAAGTGTTAAAGCCAGTCTGGCTCTAGAGCACACGAAACCATTCTATTCTTTGTATTTCTTACAGATATCTCAAGGTTGTAGAAATTTGTCTCTAAAATTGTCAACATTTATGTAGCCAAAATATATTAGGGAACAAAAAAATTAGAGTGCACTTATGTTTCTTCAACTTAGGGCTATCCTTCAAAAGAAGTTGTATAATACAATTCAGCTTTATGCAAATACAGTACAACATGAGATCCAGAAGCAGAATTAATACCTGTGATAATATGTTTGTTTCATACTACTTACTATGCATGTGAAAGTTTGTGTAGCAAACATAGATTATAAATTTTATGAGGGCACGGACCATGTTTATTTTGCTGATAGCCAGAACTTAGTACAGTGTCTGATATGTGGCAGGTGACCAAGAAATACATACTGAATAAATAATGATGCCATGCCTTAAAAAGCCCACAAATTAAGGAATATGTAATTTCAAATTATATTATGGAATGTAATTTTGATTTTTTTAATGAACAAAACTGGGATACGTTAAAGTAATACTGGGAGGGTGATTCAGTATTAGGACATCTGAAGTGTTATTTTTTTGTTCTTTGTGAAAGAAATTAAGTGTTTTTTTTTAACTTCTGAGCTTTGGGAAAATTGAAACAGAAAGAAAAAGTCCTTCAAAATTTAGCTTAGGGCCGGCCTGGTGGCGCACTGCGCTAGTGCGCCACTTGGGAAGCGCAGAGGCGCTCCCGCCGAGGGTTCGGATCCCACATACAGACCGGTTCCCACTCACTGGCTGAGCGAGGCGCGGGGGCAACACCGAGGGTTGCGATCCCGTTGCCGGTCCCGGTCCGGTACGGGGGCAACACTGAGGGTTGCAATCCGTTGCCGGACACGGGAAAAAGACAAAAAAAAAAAAAAAAAAAAAATTTAGCTTATCCTGCTAAACAGATGATCAAGTAGATTTTTATGATAACTAATGAATATTGCGATTTAAAATTATGCAAACCATTTAGCTAATATTCACTTAAGTCAGTTCAAGTTAGTAAATCTGTGAGGAAGAATTACTTACATCAGATGTGCTCCATAGGTCACAGACACCAGCAAATGAAACAGTGTCAGGTAAGAAAGGAATCAAGGACACATATCGAGCCACCAGTTCCTATATAAACAAAATTAGCTTTAAAAAAATAATTTCTAATAAAATAGAAAGTTGCATCCTCTACATTATTTCTTAACACAATATAACTTCCATCTATCACCAACATTTATTTGTACAGAATGAAACTAATGCTAAGTGCTTATTCAATGTTGCATTAGTATTATCTCACTTAATCCTCACTTAATGTCCAACGTGGAAGGTTATTGTAATTATGTATCTTTTACAGATGAAGAAACTGGCTCCTGTGTCCCTTTGAAATGTCCTCTTTTTTTTTTTTTTTCTTTTTTTTGCATTTCTTTACTTTCTGGTATAACAAGACTTTCTAGGATCATCTTGTACTTTCCTTAGCCCAGTTCTGAAAGCAGCCATTTCTCCAAGAAGCCCTGGTTCCTTTTAGAAGGGAATAATAGTATTTAGGAACCAGGATCTAGGCATCATTGTGATTATAACTCAACTTTCTGTAATTTTTAAGGAGGTTAATCTCTTCGTATGTTTATTGGCCTTTCATGTTTCTACTTTTGTAGATTTATATTTAAGTATTTTGCACATTTTCTTATTGATTTGTAAGAGTTGCTTTTGTTTTTGTTTTTTATTTTAAATATATTCTGGTGACTATTCCTTTGTGTAGTATATATGTTGTAATATCCTCTCTTCATTTGTAGCTATTTTTTAATGTCCTTCATCTGGGAAAGTGTCTCATGGTGTCTTTTGGTAAATCCAGGTTCTCAATTTTAATGTCAGATTTTTTTTTTTTCTTTATAGTTTGTGTTTTCTGTCTTGTTCAAGAAATCATTCCTATCTCAGGTCTTAAAGATAAAAAATCACCTTTCACATTTAAGTCTTCAACCTATCTGCAACTGAGTGATGTGAGGTAGGAGTCTATTTTCATTTATTCCATATGAAAAATCAATGATTTTAGTACAATTTATGTAATAGTCAATCTTTTCTTTACTAATTGTCAATCTTTGTCACATATCAGGATTCCATATTTGAATGGGTCTATTCTGGGTTTTTAAATTTTTCTTCCATCTTTTTCGTTGTAATCCCTGTGTCAATACCATTTTGCCTTAATTACTATGGTCTCATAAGTACTTTGTATATATGGTATGGGAAGTCCTCCCACTGGGTTCTTATTCTTTAGAATTGTTTTGGCTATTTTTGGCCCTTTGCAATTCTATATAAATATTAGAATCAGCTTGCCAAGTTTCACTAAAAACTTTTAAAAATCTAGTTTCACAGTCTTTGTTTTTTAAAAGTTATACTCACTGTTTTCATTCTTTTAAGTGGTTAATCTAGAAATCTCAACATGCATATTTATGTTAAACTCTAAAATATCTTTGCCCTCATTTTGGAAAATACAAGGGCATTAAAATATTCTCATCAATCCTGTCCTGACACACATGATGCACATTTTTTTTCAGAGTTTTTGTCCTATTCTGATTTTTCACCCACATTGCTATTGTTATTAAGACAATACGTATTTATAGTTATTCACAAGTCTCCCACTTTTTCTTTACCTAGCATTATGTTTTGCATCCAGAATTTTCCTCTGAGAGCCTTCCTTATCTTTGAAGTATATTTTTTAGACATTCTGTTAGTAGAGAATCTTTTCGTTGTGAATTCTCCCAATGTTTGTGTGAAAGATAGTTTCACCGGATATAAACTACTAGTTTGGCAGCTATTTTCTTTCAGCCTTTTGAAGATGTTCCTCTTCTGGCTTTCATTTGTGCAGTTGAAAATTCTGTTGGTTTAGAGCATTCTTCTTTTGTGAATATTCTGTGTTTTCTGTCTAGCTGCTTTTAAGATCATTTTTGTCTTTGTAGTTCCCTATGATATGCCTAGATTTTGATTTCTTTTTATTTATCTCGCTTAGGATCCATTGGGCTTTACTCAGAAGACTGTTGTCTTTCATCAAATCTTGGAAATTCTCAGCTCAGTCTCTTTGAATATTGCCTTTCTCCATTAACACACCATTTGGACCTTCTCCGTGCGTCCTCCGCATCTCTTAACCATTCCTTTATGCCTTCCAGTTTTTTCTGTCTCTGTGCTGTATTCCAAGTATTTTCTTTGTATTTTTACTCCAGTTCACTAATTCTTTCTGTATTTAACTGTATATAACTTAACTCTGTGTTTGGCTTTATGTAACTTTTTAAAAATCTGTTTAATTCTTAATTTAAACTATTGTATCTGTTATTGCTATGAGTTCCATTTCGTACTTTTAAAAATTTGCTTGTCAGTTCCAGTAGTCTGTTGTTGTTTAATTATACTTTCAGCTTCCCAGATTTCTTAAACTTATTAAACGTATCTAACTTATATTCTGTATCTGATAATTCTAATATCTGCCATCTTTGTGGTCCGATTCTGTAGTTTGTTGCTTCTGCTAACTCTTACCTTCTTCATGGCAACTTATTTTTTCATTGATGATCACTTATTGTACATGTTACCTGGGACATTTTCTGTGGAATTTTTTTGAAGCTAAGTTTGAAGGGCTTTCTTCTAGAAGGGTTTGTGTTTGCTTTTGACAGGGATCTAGGGAATACTAGATATGTGGTTGAAGTGTTTTGGGGTCATATGAATAGTGTAAATTCCATCCCAAATGTGAGTAAATACAGGTTAGTGATTGGGAAGTCTCAGGATATACTTCTTTTTTTTCTCTTCCATCCAGCATCAAGACTGAGACAGGCAGGATTCCTTCTGTAGGTCAGAGGATTTTCTAGTTTACCCATTGATAATATTACCCCTCAAGGGTCCCAACTTTGTGCCTGAGTCTCTAATTCAACCTTCCAGCCTGTTCTAACCTGTGTGTTACCTCCCATCTCACACAGCCTCGTGGCTCATTGAAACCTAGTTCTAGTCATCGGGAATTATCACATGGCCTGAGAGCAAATGATATTTCCAGCCCTCACCTTTGTCGAGTCTTTCTTTCTTCTTGTTTCTTATCTCTGATTTCCCCCCCTCACTTTACTTCTATTTCAGCCATAATTTTAAAACATTTTAAATATTTTATTTATCATCTTTAAGTGTTCTCTACTGGAGATATTTTTCATACTTCTACTATGTTAGGTAGAATAGAATTCCCTATTATGGTTTCTATAAAAATTAATTAAAAAAAGGTAAATGAAATGTAGAACACAAGGTGTTTTTTTAATATATCTATGTCTGCAAATAGATGTATCATCACCCTATTTCTAAATTACTATATTAATGACTATTAGCAGCAATTACTCCCTATACTATCCACTCTCCAAAAACAGTTATAGGTTGGGGCCGGCCCGGTGGCGCACTGCTACAGTGCGCCGCTTGGGAGCATGGCAGCGCTCCCGCCAAGGGTTCGGATCCCACATACAGACCGGCCGCTCACTGGCTGAGCGAGGTGTGGGCGCAACGCCGAGGGTTGCGATCCCGTTGCCAGTCCCGGTCCGGTACAGGCGCGACACTGAGGGTTGCGATCTGTTGCCGGTCACGAAAAAAGACAAAAAGGAAAAAAAAAAACAAAAAAAAAAAACAGTTTTAGGTTGCAGTACTCACTTAAAAGCCTGCTTAACATTATAGCTTCTGGTTCATGTGAATTTGCGATGGGTATAATGCTTTGAAGCCAGAGAGTGGTGCATGTATAAATATATGTATAAGTGGCCCAGTATGGGTGTACTTTGATGTGATGGCCTACATGCTTAAAATACTTAAATTTTTGAAATAATTTTTGCTTAATTTGAATTCAATGATGTTTATAATACTGAATAGTTATCTTGGTATAGTAGAAAGTTCATGAGTTCTGAAGTTAGAGACCTTGGTTCAAATCCTAACAAAGTTACTAAGAATACATAAGGAAAACGTGTATGTAAGACATTTTGGAAGCGTAGAGTATCTTTTATATGTTAATTTGCCAACACTTAATGTGCCAGGGACACAGCACACAATAATTGTTTGCTGAAAGAATGAACTAAGGATTATAACCATGCCTGGTACTTTCAGACTTAAGCATGCCTCATAGTAATAAAGCTTTAATCATTACTTTCATCACTAATGATCTTGATACAGTTAATATCTTAAGTACTATGAAAAATGGTAATTAAAGCGGCAATATACTGAAATTTTAAAACATTTTTAGCAACAGCACTAATTGGTTATAAAATACTTACTGCAGTTGCCTGTGGATTATTGGGGTAGACATTAAGGAGCTCCTGAGGAGGGTTTAAAGGTTTGAGATAACGTGTAATAAAAACGGTTTTTCCACTTATGTCAATTACTGTTGTAAGGCACTGACGATTAGGAAACTTTAAGGCACATTCAGCTTGAAACTTCTCTGTTGCTTGAAGCAGTTTCTCATCTTCTTGAGAATCAAACTTTAAAAAGAAAGACTCCATGGAGTTTATATATGATTACAGGAGACAAAGTAAAACATGTTCAGATTCCACAGTCAACATGAACTAAATGTGCGGTTTGGGAAGTATGATTAAGTGACTCCTTACAAAACTGTCATGTCCTGATGTCCCTGCAGCTTTATTTAATTATATTTATAATTTAAAAATTAGACTGATTTATTAAATGCTTTAAATACATTCAATAGGTTTGAAAGAAAGTAGTCAACAAGCAAGCACCATATGGAAACAATCTATGAAAATTAAACTATGACATATTAATTCTGATTGACGAGACCAAGCAATAGTTTTACATATATTTTGATGCTGGTTTTAAGAGCAGTGGGTGAGTGAAGGAAGTTTAGAAATTTAACATCTCAAATGCAAAGCATAAGCAACTTATGTTAAATGGACAGCAAACTTATATATTACATGTGTTTAAAAGTTTCAAATTCATAATCACTTTAAGAAATAATAGTAATGGATCTCAAGGAAAAAAGAAGCAGAAATAGAAAAATCAAATGTATAATAATTAAAGTGGTTCTCTGATCCAGGATGAGCAACCAGTCTTTTAATAGTAAAAAGACTACTAGTCTTTTTAATAGTAATTCAAAGACTTTTTAATAGTAACTCAAAGCAGATGAAACAGAACAAATTTCAATTGCCTTTAGAAACATTGTCATCCCTTCCCCCAGCTAAAAAAAAAAAAAAAAAAAAAAAAGCAGGTATTTGAATGTTTTTACAAGATTTTTGTTGTTTAGTATAAAAATATATGCATGGTTGCTTTCATTTCAAAGGATTTCAAGACAAACTCGAAATTTTATTAGAAAGATTAATTTTTAAGTAGAATTTAGAGGAAGTGCTTGCATTTTTTTTGGGGGGGGGAGGGAAATGCATCCAGCTATCCTCCTGTACTCTGCTTTATTTTTCTTTTTAACACTTAAAGCCACTGACATACGATATATTTGTTTACTCTGTCTCCCCCATAAATTAAGATTGCTGAAGTCGGGGATTTTGTTTTGATCTCATTCTTTAATTCTCCAGTACTGAGAATACTACCTGGCACACAGTAAGTGTTTAACAGATATTGTTGAGTAAATAGAAGACATCTTATTACCTTTTTTTATGACCCCACATAGAATCTAGATTATCATAATTTTTATTTACTTCCCCTTGTATTGTGGCTTCTATTTCTAGTTTGATTGCTGTACCCTGAGAAGTTGGGATAGTGGTTATGGGAGTTATTTAGGATGGTGGCATCTCCAAAAGCCTCCTGTATATTCTCATGGGATGTCTCCTGACATTCAAATCTTAACATCATTATAATCATTTTAACCACCTATGCTTAACATAGTGCCAAGACACAGTAGCCACCCAATAGGGGTTATGATGGATAAGTAATTAAATGAAAAGGGTTGAGCTCATAAGGCTTTGGTGTGGGTGTGTCACAGATTCCCAGAGTAGAATAGTCAAGCCAGAAATAATTGTAATTTTAGAAAGATGGAGAATTATCAAACAAGGATGGTGTGAAAAAAAACCCACCCAGTTGAATTTATCCCTACTTCTTTAAATGCACTCATATACTCATTCATGCAATTATTTGAACACTGCTGAGAGTCTGACAGGTTCCAAGCACCTGGATAAATGAGTATGAAACAATCCCTTAAGGAACTTCAAGTCTAGAGGGGAACATTAATAAGCAATCAGGTACTTAGAATAGTTGACCAGAGATTCTATGGGGATAAACACACGGTGCTCTGGGAGTATTTAAGAGAGGCATCTATAGGCACTTCCCAGAAAGAATGACAAAAATCTTGAATTAGTACATACTATTGGCTTTCCAAGTTGAGAAAAGTGTGCCTAAAAGCTTTTACTGCCATATGGACCTGAATGTTCTGTTGTGTATCTTGGTTCTACAACTAGTGCTTCTTGAGGGCAGGGCCTTTGTGTGAATAAGTTTGTGTCCCTTCCTGCACCTAGCATGCACATGGTGAGCATTTAATAAGTATCTATTCATAGTCGTTCATACTTGTTTAGGCCACCAGGATGCCATTTCATGGAGTGAAACAGGAATTTAAGGAGTAGTATGCTGTGTTGATGGTCTAAGAAGTGTAAAGGTCTAAATGGTCTAAAAAGCTGAAAACTAAAAGAATTTGGGTTATTTATTATGAAACAAATTAAGGTGGAACTGACAAATTTACAGTTTGATTCAACACGAAATTTGGAAGATTCTTAACTGACTCAATTATTTATTTACCTCTAGGTTAATGTAAACATTTACAGAAAAAATGAAAAGTTTATCCTGTCTTTGAATAGCTACACATGACAGCCCCAACTGACCAGAAATAATTTTCAGAGCTACACTTTCTCTGTAAGAAGCAGCTTATGTAAACAGTGGAAGTAGCTTCCAGTGCACAGTGACATTCAGACTGATGACTTTTTAGATTCAAAGCTAAGAATCTTTCTAACAAAATGAAATGGGCCCAAAGACAAAGCTAGACATTCCTCCTAGAACTGCAGACATCTATAGTTCATTGCGAAGGAATCAGACATAAGGACCCAGCATCTGTCCCCACGTGGCACTATACAAAAGCAGCTAATTAAAGCCTAATAACTACTGACGGATAAATTGTGAAACAAAATACTTGGTACCTTTTTAAGCATGTCACTCATCTATCAGAGGCAAAAAGAAAAAGGAAATGAAGACTTTATTAACAGAAATAATCTATTTTAAAAAACATGTTTTTAACCAAGACAGTGTTAGTAGGGGATGTTAAAATAAGTTTTGGGAATTGCTACTGATTTATTATTTGTTTGTTTCTCATGCCTTCATTTTTAGAGATCTAAGAGAAGTGTTTCACACAGCCACAATGGGGCAGTGAAATGCCATCAAAGGCAGCAGCTGGTCACCTCGTTAACAGCTTTAGGGAAGGAAGGCTTTAGGACCAGAGAACTGTGTTTCAGATCTCTGGAGCCCTTGTCAAAGTCCTGTAAGAAGAAGTCGGTGCCTGGGAAGGATGCCACTTAGTGCGAGGAGTCTCGGGTTTTTGGGTTTTCATCCTTTCTGCCAGTCACAGACTGCTTTCACATGTTTTGGAAGCTCACCTCCAGATGGGGTCCTAGCTGACTGCTTTTTTCTTCTGTTAAGAATGCACAGATCTTTTGTATGCGAGCATTTTTCTGTGTAAACCTGGTTGTTGACTTTCTCTTGAGTTTACACATGAAGACAAACATTCGGAATATATATTTCCCTTTCTAAAAATATTTTGAAATGCATGTATTCTAATATGTTTTCTAGAAAACCACAGCTTTAGTGACAAAGCCTAGCATATAAGATTAATTTAAATTTCATATATTGTTTTTCCAGTAATCTTTTGTGTCCTTTTGTAAATGCATTACAAATAGGAGATAGTGACATTATTATTCTGTGTGAACCTAACTGTAATACTAGAACAGGAATAGGAGTGTGCTTGCCTTTTTCGTCTCTATCTGAGTCTCAATTACAATGGATAAACTAAAGAGTCAGCATGATAACCTATTAGTGTAGCTTAATAGTGAACAGTTTGTTCTTACACATGAATGTAAGCTTGGTGGAATATTTTATCTGCTTTTCTAGGCAGTCATACACCCAGTGCTTAAGAAGTGCCTGTCACATAGAAGCTGCTAATATTTACATATATATTCAATACATATTTACATATGTCCAATTTAGAGTCAGACAGACGTTTACAGTGTTACCTCTGCCATGTACTGCTATATATGTAAATGGAAGCCTATTTTCCTCTTCTATAGTTGGAGACCCATTGTCCAAGACAAATGTGAGCATTAAAGGAGAGAACATAATATCCAATGTCTGACATAGTGCTGAGGACAGAGTAATGACTCGATACATGTTATTGATGGTGGTTGTTATTAGTGTATTAGTTTATATATGAATAAGAGGTCACAATCAGTACTTTCTCCCAAATCCAATGAGGGCAGTATGCATAAATGCTGCTCAAGTATATTACATTAAGAAAGTTGTTTCCCAATGATGAAGGTTGGGGAACAGTTGCTAACAAATGGAAGTTCTGGAAATTCCTTTTTCTAGAGCTGTTTCAAAGAGTCCTTGTGCATATATTTATTTGTTTCATGAAATGAGTGGAGATGACCCATGAAGGTCATCTAGCTTTGGTCTGATGCATTGATTCAATGCATAGCACAGCCAGGGATGTGAAGTCGGACATGGGAAGGTATTTCTGTACGCTTGCCAACAAATGTCAAATAGAATAGCAATGTCATGTTCTAGTTCACCATATCTCATTTCCTTCACATTGAGAAAATTCTGCTTAAAGCAGAGCATGTTTATATTTGTCTTGATTTGCCTAAAAGTTTAAGTTGCTGATTGACTTAAGAAAGCACAAACTCACACATCTGTTCTCTCACCATCATTCTGCCCAAACTGAAAGAATAATAAATGGACAAAGAAGTAAGGAAACCTCTGTTTGTGTAGCACAGTCAAAGTTTATAAAAGCATAGCCTAGCAATCATTTCTCATGTTTCGTCAACATCAGACATGGGTTTCCAAATGTAAAGCAGAGTTACCTTTTCTCGAACTGACTCTCCAGGAACCAGTTGAGGCTCAATGGTAATAAACAAGGTGATGTAGGAGCCTTCACTTAAGCTCCGGGCAGAATCAAAACCCCGCTCCATAATCATGTTTCGCTCCTTACTGTAACCCAGAAGAACTGGGGGAATATCTATTTTAAATGTTCCATCAATCTGTGAAGAAAATATGACTTGATAAACATCCTCGTGATTTTTCCAGCAGAATTTCAAAGGCAAGGGTCATCTCCTCATTGTCTGATGAATTAAATAAACACTGCTTAAACTGGCATTCAAAGACCACCCCATCTTTCTAGCTTTGTCTCCCCAAGCTCTCAGCAGAAATGGCTCTATATTTCCCTGCCTTCTTTTCTTTGTGTAGCAGAGAGTGTACCGGTTACATAAGTTGCCTAGGTTCAAATCCTGGTTTAAACTCTGATTGCCTCAGCTTCCTCATTTGTAAAAAGAGACGATAATAGTAGCTACTTCTTAGGGTTGTTATGAATACTGAATGAATTAATAGACATAAAACACTAAGAAAAATGGCATATGTTAAGTGCTCAATAAACATAGACTTAGTAGCCATTGGCCTTCTCTGGGATGCCCAGTTTCCCATCTCCACCTTTTAGAATTTTAATCATTTTTCAAGGCTTAGGTCAAATGTCTCCTTCATGAATTACTTTATTTCCATTACCCTCACATATAGTTTGTTTCTTACATTTGATACATTAACACATTCTGCCTGACTTAATAGTTGTATGCATATTTGTTACTTTCTTCTAGATAATTTCTTTCTGAGAACAGAATCTATATTTTCCCCCCTTTTATATCACCCTTCTCTGGCATATAGCAGTACTTTGTGTATACAGTAGGTGCTTAATAAATATGAATTGAATGGACGACAAGCCACTTATATAAAAAGGACTTACATAAAGGTTCAAAATGGCAGAACTTTTCTACTTTTGTAAAGACAAAGCAACAATAAATTGATTAAAGACTGTCTACTACTGTAAAACTACTCAGGGCTAGAATTTGAAATTCACAAAAATTTGTAGAGAATCCAATTTTTGTTTCGGTCTTAATGGCATTCATGTCTCAGGAGAAACAGAGAAAGAACTTAAACTTTCAGTGAATATGCCTTCTAGGGATGAATTAAGTAAGCAATTATTTATTTTTCTCCTTACATTGACAGAGTTCATCAAAAAGCCTGTGCCCAGTCAGATGAGTACAGGGGAAAGAAGGGTGTAAAACTGATGACATAAAAAGTACAGCTGAAATAACTGAGTACATTTATTCTGTAAAATACATAGATGACCCAGGAAGGAGGGAATGTGAATGATCTTCAAATATTTGAAGTGTAGGATTTGAAAGGGTTTGGCACCCTGGGCATTGCTGATATTTGGGCCCAGATTATTCTTTGCTGTGGGGGCTGTCCTGTGCATGGTGGGATGTTCAGCAGCATCCCCAGCCTCTGCACACTAATTGTCAGAAGAAGCCCCCACTAGTGTGACAACCAGAAATGTCTCCAGGCATTGCCAGTGGTTTCCCATGGGTACATTTATGCACGTGGGCTTTGGAGCCATGCAAAGCTTTTAAAATGACAAATGTAATGAAGTCATTTTTTAAAGACATATTAAAACATTTAAACTAAAAATTCGAATAGTCCTCTCTTCTTTTACCAATCTCACACCCCAGGGAAAAGCAATGTTAGCATATTGGAAGTTAGTAGAAGTCGGATCCAACTCTGGAAGCTTTGTGATTTCAGTAAGTTGCTCAACCTCTCTAGGCTTCTGCTTCTTCATCTGTATAATGGAGATAAAGATGCCAATTGTGTTGTTGTAAAGTTTAACTGAAGTGCCATAAACTGCCTACTAATAGTATGTAATATATGCCCAATAAATATAGTTTTTACTACTATTATTACTGAATCAGGATTCTACTTGTTACGTGTAGCCACAGAGAACTGAACCAGGACCTAAGAATAGGAATTACAGGGAAGTACATAGATTATGGCACAGTTCAAGGAAGAACTTTATAACATCTGTTGGAAAAGGAACAAACTGCTTCATCAGGTAGTGACTTTCCTGCGAGTGAATTCTAGAGGCACTCAAATAGAGCATGGACATTACCACAATATAGTAAAAGAAATTCATTTATCAAGGAGTTTGTAGTAATTACTTCTGAGTACCCTTCCAAATGTGAAATTCAGCAATGGCAAATATCACGGGAAGTTTGATTTTCAAAATGATATGCGCTTACATTTTTTTTCATTTAAAATCTATTCAAAGAAAAATGTAAATTCTTTTGGCAAGCACACGACTGCAGCATAATCTGTAGACTGTCCCTTTTGCCTGGGGAGGACTGCAATTCCAGTTGGTCCTCAAGATTCCAACCAATCCAAGCCTCTCTGACTTGAGTTTTGGTCTCGGTCTTGCTGGGGATTCTGTGGTCCAGGCAGCATTTGCTCTGTGTGGTCAATATAGTGGCTCAAAGCTTGTCATTGCCATGGATTTAACTGAGATGTTAAAGCAATTTCAGGATCTTTAACTGTCTCAGATTAGAGCTACTGGTCATTCAAATGTTGTCAGTGTAATTGATCCCCTTAAGCTACATCATTAACTCTGAAGCAGGGTGTCTTTGTTGAGCATGGCTCTACTAACCATTATTCATGCTTTAAATAGTGAAGATGTGTAGAAATATTAATAGAATACACTTGATTAAATGGGCCATCAACTGTCCTGATTCTTTTCTTCAAGGAACTTTCAGCATTATAGTTCCACTTTTGTCATTTTGACAGGTTTCCACTTCATCTTACCTTTTTCTTAACTTCTATTTAAATGTTTAAAAAATTCTCAGATTCAAGCACTCATACATTAACTACTAATTCTAAGGAACATAGATGTTTAACAAGTCATGCAGATGTGAAGGAAGATCAGTGGCTTTATATAGTGGGTTTTATCTTTCCAAGGGCTTTGCAGATGTATTCTCTCAGTGCTGAGGATCTATCCCCTCAAAGAAAATTTTAACCAGAAAAAATGGATAGAGAAGCTACTTATTGCCATGGAATTCTTACCCTTAGATGCTTACCCTTGCTTGGAAATATATCGTGCTAAAAGGAATTTTCACACATCCCAACCAGTATCTCTCAATGCGGGTATGGATTCCACTTCCTCTTTCACGGTCATCCTAAAGGAAGGGTGGAAAGTAATAATTGTTTAAGAACTTCAGACACTCAATTAATTTGGCAGCAGCAGGATTTTAGCTGAAAGCATATATTAGTTTAGACTTAGGTTAGACCTAATTGAATTCTGGTTCAGATACTTAATAGCTTTGTGACCCTAGAAAAGTCATTTAACATCTCTGAACCTAAGTTTTTTCTTCAATAAACTGAGATTTAACAATCTACTTTATAACATTATTTTAGAATTAAATAAGACAACACATGTAAAGCACTACTACAATTCCTGGCACAGAGCAGACACTTGACTGAAAATAAAAAAGCAAGTTCTCTTTTCCCCACCCCCCTTTCCCATTATACATGTCAAGTTTCAAGCATTTCAACACAGGAAAGATGGAAAATGTGTTTGGGACTTATATAGGGGGTAGAAGATATGAAAATGAGTACAGATGTCTTCCTTAAAACTGAGAACTTACCTCTAAGACATCGTACAGTACTTCATCAAAAATGTTAATGAATATGTCATCTTTCACTGACTGCAAACTGGCGGTGCTGTAATCCCCATTAGGGGCCCTGCAAAATAACACATGGCCAGGGACCATGAAAACAGGCAAAACGATATTATGAGCACTCAAATGTCAACATTTGAAAAATACCCCAATGTGGGGATTAAAAGCAGTGCTTTTATTTCAATGATATAATTCCTGCACGTGAATGAAAAGAGCACTAGACTGGAGACTCTGTGCAGAGACAAACCCTCTGCTGACTTGTCCTGCTGAGTCTCACTTTTCCCCACATCCCCGTGGTAAGCTTCCCAGGCTTAAGCCGGCTTAGTGGATGGGCTACAAGGTCACCAGCTGACACTGGAGCGAGTATACAAACTTCCTAAGCAACTGGGCTCCAGAAGGTATTTCTCCAGCAAGACCATTCTCTGGTCATAAACCTCCTATTGTTCTGAGGCTGGGTGAAGGGTCTCTGCCTCCCACTCACTTTCCCCATATATAGGTAAAGTAATAGAGGGGTGAGGTTCATTTCCTGGAACATAACCCGCCATGAGTCCCGCCAAGCCTAGCCGACAGGCCTTTCCACATCATGGCTGAAGACCAGGTACTGTGTGTATTTTGTTGAGCATTTGCCTCTAAGTTTTCTGGATCTTTTCAGTTGCTCCATGTATAATAATGCTACCTGTCCCTCCCTTCTGACTTAACTGCTCTGTCTGCAGTTTACTATGTGGCTTTAAGTAAGTTGCCATCCCTCTTTGGATTTTAGTATCTCCTCCGTAAAGGAAAGGGTTGGACGGGGCTCCCTCTAAGACTGCTACAAGTACTGGATTTCCAGTCAAGATGGTGAAATAGATGGTCCCCAGCGTCACTCTCTCCCACAAGTCAACTAATTTACAACTATTAAAAAGCAATAACAGCCAAGCTGGGGCTTCCAGAGCTCAGGGGAAGAGGAGGAGAGACCTATGGAGTGCATAAAGGCCAGAGAATCCACGATGAGAGAAAGAAAAAACCTCTCTGACCATTTTGAGCCCTAGCTGCTTCCAGGCTGGAGCTGCTGAGTGCATGGAGCAGGAGCTGGCAAAAGCCTCAGTTGTGCCCTTCAGATGAAGTTGCATTGGAGGTGGCAGGGGAGAAGGGGAACTTGGTGGCCCCCAGACCAGCAAGACCACTAATAAGGTTGCTGTGGGCCCACATAAGAGCAAGGAGCTATAACAACTGAAAAAAAAGGAGCCACTCAGAGGCTAGTGAGTCATTGCAAGGGACCAGAGCACAGTACCTGTCCCATGGGAAGTGTTTGCTGCACAAGCAGTGAGGGAGATGGGCCCACCAGGAGAACACTGGGACACAGCAAGGACAGCTGATCCACCCATCAATCAATGTAGGACCACTCAGAGGAGACTGGTCAGGAATATAGAATTGCATGGGGTGCAGTTTGATGAAAAGACTCAGGCCCAGACCAGTGTTTCTACACAATCCAGGTGCATTGGATTTCACTAAACCCGGAAGTACTATAAAATCAACCATTAAAATCTAAGCTGCACAAAAAGCCTTCCCCAGGGACTCAACAGCAAAGCAGCAATTTAGCTCAACCACAGAGCTCAAGTACTGGTCCCCACAGGAAGTTCCCCCCACATTAGAAGTAAGCAAAGGACAACAAATCACTTCCAGCACAGAGTTTAAGTGGTGGGAACAGAAAATCATCCAACACAGAACTGAAAGAAAAAACGGAGTACCCACAACCAGAGATAAAGTTTGATATTAACTAGCAAAGGTCTCATTTCACCAAAGAATACTATAACACCTAGAAGGACTGAAAGTCCTCTGGGCTACCAACCCAGAAAGGGGGGACAACCAGGCACACTGCCAGTGCCATGGGGTCTACCTGGGGTCCTGAGGTATGGGGTCCTGGGGACTGGACCCTCCACACACAGCCAGGCACACCTCCAGTGCCATGGGGCCCACCCAAGGTCTGGAGGCTTGGAGCTGAGGACCAGACCCCCTCCCACAACCATGCACACCACCATTACCACCACCAACTAGGTAAGGAGCATACCCAAAACATCACCTCCACATGGGTGGCCCACCACAGCCACCACAATAACCATAGCTGTTATGAAAGTGGCTAGATACCACAACCACCATGCAGATGGTCCACCAGCCACTGGAGTGCATTGACACAAGAAGAGTCACCAGCAGAGGCCAAAGTAAAGAAGAGGACGTCTCTTTCCACAAAGCTCATTCCAGAGTGACAGAAGAAGCATCTGCTCTACAATAATATTGGGAGAGCTGAGCACACCTCTCAGCATTGGACAGATCTTCTAGGCAACAAATCAACAGAGTAACCATTACTCTTTCAGAAGGAGAGAAGAAATCTAGGGTAATTAGGGGGGAAGCAGGGAGGGGGGAAAGAGAGTGGGATGGGGAGAGATTGGACAAGGGCATAAAGAATAAGTACAAATTGTAACAATATATATGTGCTAGTAATATTGATTTGGTCAACATATGTCAATGTTGAGCCCCCAAAATATGTATAATCAATTTTGATTCAATAAAATTTTTTAAAAAATGATTGCTAAAGGTACTGAAATAATGAGTCTTTTAAATATCTAAAATCCTTTGACCAAAGTTCTGAAATGCGTATTTATATCTGGTGAGGGAGAAGTGTAATTTTGGGGAACAAGAGATTTTCAAATTCACTTAAGGATGAGACATGAGGAAGAAAGGAAAAGCAGCGTAGGGGCAGTTGGGTCAGGGGAATGAGAAACTGAGCCATGAGAAGCCAGAGCCTGGAGGGGAGTAGAGTGTCCCAGTGATGAACCTGAGTTGCAAAAGTTGGAAATTTTTCCATTTTTATTCTTGAAAGGAATTGGCTGTGGTACAAGAGAAAAACTGGGATTTGGTGTCAGGACACCTGGGTCTTGTTCTAATTCATGAGCTACGAAACCTTTCACCTTAGCTCTCGCTGAGCCTTTGTGTCCTTCACATCTCTTCAGAATGTTCTATAGTTCTTTAAAGAGGAAAATGTACTTACCTAAATGGAAGTTCAAGTTCTTCATTCCAGCTGGGGTTTGGTCCTTCAGCTGTAGTTGTGTGGCAGATTGTTCTTTGAAAAGAGACTTCCACAAAAGGACGTACTAAAACCTTAAAATCAAGAACAAGTCCTGAGTCTGTAGTGGTTAGTTGAACTATTCTGTTCTCAGCAGAGCTAGAATATGCTTACTAAGTAGAGTATTTCCAAAGAAACTAAAGTGGAAAGACTGCCCTTGTAGTGTATAGGCGATTCTTAAAAGCATGAGATGCAAGATTCAAAGCTGAAATCCAGCATCTGGGTCTCTCACCTGGCCAAGAGGGTAGTCAGCACTGTGGGTTGGGCTGTGTGTGCTTGGGGAAGCAGCACGCTTTTCACTGAAAGTTCTTGAAGACCTCGAGGGCTGCTGTAGTTTGCTAGGAGGGAAAATGTATGAAAGAAACAAAGGGTAGGGAAAGTCTAATTCTTTACTGAGAAAATGGTTTCTCCAAAGATGTATGGCCCAGGTGGCTGTGGGGACAGTCATTCTTCCTAATTTGTTGACATTTCAGAGGGCTTTTAGTATGCTGTGGTCCTCTCCAGTCACATACTGAGTGCTTGAGCTTTTCCCAACTTCCATTCCCAGGCCTGCGTGTCTGGCTGAGAGCAAAGGAAAAAGTCTCCTTCTCTCTCCTCCCTTCCCAAGGGATGCCTAAGTGGGGAACCACCTTTTCCCCCATAAATAAGAATCTCGGTCCCTTTCAGGCAGCGGGATCCTGAGCTTCCTGACCAGCCTGCTCTGCTCTATCCAGTCCCAGTTCTCTCCTTCTGTATTTTCTTTGAACCTGCACTCCCCGGTGACTCTGCCCACACATCCCAGGCCACACATCTCTCTCTGGGTCTGCCCAGCCTCTCTGGGGAAGGGGGTAGCAGGGATTCCTAGCTTGAGTTAGGATCAGTGGGTCTTATGCCCTTCTCTCTTCTGAGCTGCTGTTTGTAAAGGAACAAATGAAGGTCGTCTTCAGCGAGCCTCTTCCAGATATCTTCCCCTTCATCCTAGCAACACACTCACATATTTGTACTGAACTTTATGGTTTGCCAAGTATTTTGTGTTCGCTACTGGCAATGTATAATTGTCTCTTTCTACTGGATTGTCACCTTTTTGCCACTGTTTTAGACAAACTATGAGACAATATAAGTGGAACATTGAACACAACAACTCCTAGAGAAAACTCTTTTCTCTTTTGAAAACCATTAATTACATTATTAAACAGACATTTGTTTAGTACATACTATATTTTACACCCCTATTAGACTCTGGGTCTGCAAAGACAAATAGGACAACACTTCATCTCACACTAGACTGCAGGGCAGACACATAAGCAAATAATCTGAATAAAGTGAGGTCCATGTTAGGCTAGAGGGATGGGCACAGGCTGCAGAAGCACAGAGAAGGAGGTGGAAAATCCAGTTTAGTTGGATGCAAGGGTATAGGGTGAAGATTTGGGCAGGATTAATGGAAAAGTCTGAGCTGTCTTGATGTGTTTCCATTGAAATGTGTGACACATAGGATGAACTGTCCTTCCCTGAATTATTTGAATGAAATAGTTTAACACCTGAAAATATTCTACAGAGAATAAAAGTAAAAGAAACACCTGTATTTATACAGCTTTTCACCCACAACTGGGCTTTGAAGCAATCAGGGTGAAAGGGCTATGGGTTCAAGAAATCAATGGCATATGGCACAGATTCAAGGACTTACATGTACATTTACAAGAAGCAAAGCACTGGGAATAGTTGGTGAGGACAGGACATTCTGTAATAGGTCAGGAAGAAAAGTGAGTCAAAATCATGGTGCGAGAGGAAGGAGGGAGGGAGAAATAAAGTAAAGAGGAAGAATCTAGGAGGACAGAAGACGCCAAAGGCTGGAAAAGGCTCTTCTATAGAATAAGATAAGTGATGAGATGACCCTGGCCAAGCCACTTACACTCTCTTCACTTCCACTTTCTCTTTTGTAAATTGGAGATAGTAATAGCAAGCATTAAGTGAAATAATATACGTGGATGTGCCTAGCATGGTGCTTGGAACACATACAATAAACTCTACTTCCTCCCATTACACCAGTCAGGACACCAGCAAATAAAGAAGTTTCAATTCTTGGTCCTTCCATCTCTGTTCTCTGAGGGCATAAGAAACTCAGACTCACCTGTGGTTGAGGGCTCCCTATTACCCCAGTTAGTAAACCGTGGTAGACATAACTCATTTCGCTGAACAGATAAAAGGGAAGTCACATTCTTATCCTCACAACACATGCATTTCAGAACCTAGGACAGACACCTTTTGTGTATCCTGCGCAGCTCACAGTACATCTCTGAGAACTGTTCCTACCTTCAGGGCTGGTCCTTCTGACCCTGCCTCTCTGACTGTAGGTGATTAGACTGTGAATCAACATTGACCCATGTTAGCAGCTTCAGATTCTCTCCTGAGAAGATAACACTTAGTTGGGGGTACCCTGGCTGCACAGACCACTTCCATCACATGGAGAAAAATGAAGCAAACTCAGAGGGAAGCATGGAGAGAGACAGTGGGGCCTCGGGAGAACATCTCAGTCCCTGCAGTCTATGATGTAGTTCAACTGTACCTCTTGTCCTTGAGTTCTACGAACTGTTCCCAGTAAACCCCCTCTTTAGCCCAAGTTGGCTCTGCAAACCACAGGGCCTTGGCTCCAGCAAGAACCCTCCAGGTCCCTGCTGAACAATAACTGTGTTCAGAACAAGAGTAACTATGCTATGAAGAAGTGATTGACCTGACAGGGATCCTGCACATTCCATCCCAGGGCTGCTCAGAGGGTCTCACCTTGCTATTGGCTTCCTCACTGGAATGTCATAAGCCCGGATAATATTCACCAGCAGCTTTATGTCTCCATCAGACAGGTTTTGGGCTGTCACCTTCTTCCGACCTTTTCTCCTTGGCCTCAGTGGTCGCTTTTGTTCTGCCAACTTGAAAAGGCTTAGGCCCAAAATGCTAATGATTACAGAACAGGATTAGACTCTAAAGAAAAGAATGGTCTGAAAAATTGTGAGACAACTTCCCAAACTCTGCCCCAAGGTCTCTCATAAGCCCCGGAAAAACTCTATCCTTTTAAGGAGGACAGAAAAAGTCCAGAAATTTTCCTAAATGGGGGAGATCCTACTGCATAGATTGTTCAAGTTTATTTTTGCTGCTACTTATCAGAGGAAGAAAAGCCATGTTCTGGCTCTGCCTGCGTTTTCTGCCTTGGTCTCTCCCTCGCTTCCCCACCAGGCCCTTGAACGTGCCCTGTGCTCTGCTCCCCTTCACCTTGGCTAGTGCCAACCCCTCACATGGGATGCCTCCCTCAGTCTTCCTCGTCTGCCTAGGTGGCTGCAGTTTTACCCGTCCCTCAGGGCCAGAGGCTGCCCCTTCCCCAGAGACCTGGTCACATCAGTGGGAAGTGACACTCCCTCTTCTGAGCCCTCCAGCACCTACTAGCCTGCTCCATTCACACGACGGTCAGTGTACACAGCCATCTTGGGTAGTTCCTGGCATATCTTACTGTCTGGAGTTAGAGAGAACTGAGTGTGAATCCTGGCTCCACTTTTTGCCTTGGGCAAATTATTTCACCTCTTTAAGTCTCTGTTTCATCATCTGTAAAATGGGGATAGCAATACCTACCTTTTGGGGTTGTTGAGAGGATTAAGTGCGGAGGTGTGTACAAAGCACCCTGGCCCTGGTCTAGCACTTAGTAGATGCCTTATAATGGTAACTTTTGGGATGATGACAATGATTATAATGACAGTGATTATGCTGGAGGAAGAGGAGGAGGTGGAGGCAGGAGGAAGGGGGTGGGGGAGGAGCAGGAGGATCCTTCTTTCATCTCTACCATTCTGTGCAACTAACACTATAAATTCTAGCCCAGAGACCAAACAGAAACCCAGATGCTACTTTGTATCTGGAAGCTGACATTAATAACTACGCCAAACAGCCGCTGAACAAAGCCGGCTGTGCAGAGCTGGCCGCAGGCTGCCACAATCATGGTTCTCCACTTCGCTGTTGAGTATTAGAGCTGGTTAAGCAGCCTCTTGACTGGAGCCCCTCTGTGCAAGAGGCACCACCAGCTGAGAGCGAGGGCCCTTCATCTCCTGTCTAGGTACTACTGATGGCTCCTGTAAATAATCCTGAGGGGTTTCCAGGGGCTTTTGTTCTTGTTTGTTTTCCAGGGTCTTGCACGGAATAGCTACCATTCATAAGCACCTTCTGTGTATCAAGAGGTATGCTAGGTGCCTTACATATAATATTTCTAATCCTTACAAATTTAATATTTACCCCACTTTTCAGATGAAGAAACTGGAAGCTATGAGAGGTGCTATGATTTGCTGAAGGCTCCTTAATGGTAGGAGGGGGAGCTGGGGTCAAACTCAGGTCATTCACACTCAGGGCTACCTAGCACATGTTCTTAATCACTCTGCCAGGACACCTACCTAACCCACCCTTGGGAGCCTCAAAGACACAACTTTGCCAGAGGTTCTAACATGACAAATTTCTTCCATTATCAATGCTTCCTCCCTCCCCCAGAGGTGACCCCTTTTGTGAGACCTGGATGCTTCTATAGCAGTCGGCATGGGGGCACCATGTTGGCTGGGACCATTAAACATAAAAACATCTTAGTTTAAAGCCAAGAACAAACTGAAATTAAAAGAAGAAGGAACATACCCTGAGCCTTCAGAACTTAATGCAGAAAGTAAAGCAGAAAAAAAAAAGAAAAAAAAAAAAAAGAAAAGGAAAAACAGCATGAAAAGTCATCATCTATTCTAAATGTAATTTTCATGACTGAAAATATTCAATGACTAGACTGTGGGTCTGGAACAGAGAGAGGTTTTGCATGAATTGATGTGAGCATAGCTTCCCTTCTGTACATGGCTGGAGGGAGAGCCAAAGAGAAAAGTTTCCGTGCATAGCACAAGTTTTCATCTCCTCCACTGGATGGTGGGGAGGAAGTACATGCATAGGAAAGAACCTTTTTGGGAGATCAAGATATTTAATCACAGAAAATGTCATGAAGTTTATGGACCACACAAGACCACCAATATAGGACATTATCTTTCATCCCTTATGCATTCATCTGTAGTTGAGACCAGATGAGGATTATTCTAGATAATAGGGAGCCAATTGCAAATACAGGCAATTCCCAAGTTCATGTGAGTATCCAATTTTCCCTGCTGCCCTTCGCTCTCACCAAACACACACCAGCTCTCTGCCTCCCAGTTTGGGTACTAGAGCCAGGCCTCTCCCTGCTACCCCAGAACCTCAGTGGATGAGGTCTCAGCCCCTCCACTGCTGTGTGATGGGAGGGTAAGGGAAAGCCTGGCATTGGGAAATTAGGAAAGCAGGAGGGAAATGCTCTTGGGTTTAATTAACTAGAATAAGAAAAGGGCAAAGCCTAGTGAAGTTGATTTGGAAGTAGTGGGAGGTGAGACAAGCTCTACTGGAATGCAATGGGAGAGGCTCCAGGAGGCTTGTCCTAACAGAAATCCCCCCACTATTGTCACCATTAGGCATTAATTCGTTTTAACTAGGTTTCCAGAATTGTTCTGGGCCCAAATGCATACATACAATGATTTTAAAAATCTTATATGACACCTTTTATATAATAGAATACAAATAAAAAATTTTATAAGAAGTAATAATAATGGCTTTGTTCAATTATTTTTACCTGATATTGGGAACTTCTTCTTCTACTACCAAATCAGCAAGAAGAAAATGGTGCTTTGCAATGAGGAAACGATTTATCACCGATTCTCTAACCTGGTGAAATAAATCAGCTTTATTTAAAATGTTCTGATTATTTATACTTCATAGTTCACTCCCTACCATCCTTCGGGTCTTTGCCCTAATGTCACCTCAGCGTCCCCACCCCTTGCCCTGCTGTTACTTTGCAGCGCTGGACTCCTCTTGCTGTAAATCCTCAAGCTTCCTGCAGTAGACTGTAAGCTCTCTAAAAGCAAGGTGTTTTCTGTTTTGTTCACTGCTACAGTCTTAGGACCTGGAAAGGTCCCGGCAAATGAGATAGTAAAATTTTGCTGCATAAATTAACAATTACAAAAAAAAAAAAAAAAAAAAAAAAAGAGCCAGTCTTGAAGTACACACAATTCAGAGCTGATTCTTAAGTTCTTCCCCTATCCAGAATGATTCGCTTCCTAATTTACAATAAATGACCTCTTAAATGTCTTAAATTTTTTTTCTTTTATATTTATATCAGCCCCAGGGTAGATAAATTGGATAGAGATAATGCGCTGTAGTAACTGTAGCATTCCTTACAAGTTTATTGAAGGAAGGAAGGAAAGAAAGAAAAGAGAGAAGGAAAGGAAAAAAATGGACTGAAAAATGACAAAAAAAGAATGTTTCAACTTCAATTTTTAGTTTTCCAGTGCATAAGGGCAGTTAGTATGTGGTTTAAAACTTGCTTTTTTCTGATCGCAAGGGTAATCAATGTAATGCAATGTAACAGCCAAATGCAAACATTCAAATATTAGAAAAAGTAGACTTAGAAATTGAGTCCTTTGTAATCATATTCCATTTAAAATAACCACTGATAATAGACAGGGACATATCCTAGTGGCTCCATATATTCAAAAGGTGGAGATAGTTATAAATTAAATATTTGTATTTATGAGAAAATTAATCTAAAGAGGTTAAGTGGCTTGCATAAGATCACACAGATTTTTATAAGAGTAGAGAATTTCCCATCTTAGGATGCTGGCTCTTTTCCCCCCATGATGGCTGTTTTAAATGATTTTTCTTACCTGCTGCAGGTACTTGGCTACTACGGCCCTATGGGTATCTATGTGGTCCTTGGTTTCAATTACATTTCTGTCTTGTAATCGTTTCTCATAGTCCTAAAATCCAAAGGAGGCAATAATTTTATAATTTTAAGGTACTCTCTGATGCTCTTTTTGAGATTAAGGAATTATTTATTACATGTGGTTTGAGTCATAAATTATGGCTCTAAATGTTTCTTCCACCTTTTCCTAACTTTTCTTTTTTTTTTTTTTTCCCTTTTTGTCTTTTTTCGTGTCTGGCAACGGACTGCAACCCTCAGTGTCGCGCCCGTACTGGACCAGGACCAGCAACGGGATCGCAACCCTCGGTGCTGCGCCCGCCCCTTGCTCAGCCAGTGAGCGGGAACCGGTCTGTATGTGGGATCCGAACCCTCGGCGGGAGCGCCGCCGCGCTCCCAAGCGGCGCACTGTAGCAGTGCGCCACTGGGCCGGCCCCACCTTTTCCTAACTTTTCATTCAGAATTGATCTTTGATGCAATAACTCGGCCTCTGAATCAGTTGGTTGAACTCCCTTACTAGTAGAAGAAAATTTTGTACAATAGTTTCAAGTTAAAATGTTCATGCAGGAAGAAATAAAAACCACAGAACATAACAGAGAAAGTCATCATAATTCAAGACACTAAGCTTATCCAAGCAGCTTACCAAGGCCCCTGCTTAAGTTTTTCCTTTTCTAGTTTAAGTAAAGCACTGACAAAAATACTGAAAAGCTCCAGTTAAAACAGTACCACTATCACATGAGATGTGGCTGCAGTTGACTTGGGTCATGTACTTGGAGGAGGGTAATGAATGTTTTTGATTTTGTCTGCTTAGGCCTCTCCCTCTTTCTGACAATAAAACTGTGTGCCCTAGGGAACTGCCCTGTTCTCCTTTAAGCCCTCTCTCTGGTCACAGTTAAATGCCCAGTGATGGCACCTAACTATTCCAGGCTTGGTGACTCAGAGATTTTTGAACTTGAGACAAGAGGACACATCTCTCTCTGTTGGCTGAAGTTACTACATGTGAACATGGGTGATGCTGGTGACCATGTGGCCAAGAGAGAAAACCTGTCTGCCAAGGGGGAGAATGAAGCCACCACACTCAAGCAGCCCAGACTGGATGGAGAAGGACCCTGGCAGCACGCGGGGTCCCAATCAGGGTGCACTTGAGGCGCAGATGCATCCTTGTCATTCACAAGTCTCTAGATATTTAACTCTATTTGGGAATTTCATCATCCAGTAAACTCCCCTTGCTGTCTGAGGTAGTTCAAAATTGGGTTTTTATCCCTTATGATCACAAGTCCAAACTAATACAAAGAAGAACCAAATAACTATTGGTTCTCCAAGAACTATTTCTGCATGAAAAATTATAATGGTACTAATTTTTAATGCCTCTCCGTTTACCACATAGAATGCAAACTCATTTTTAATGTAATAAGTATTAACTAAGCACCATGTACAAGGGACAGTAGTAAAGCACTAGAAGGAAAACTAGATGGGAAGGATTTGAATAGCTTTGGTGTGGGTGGTACAAACTGAATTCCTGGAAGGCTCCTCCGCCCTCATGCCCACCCTCTGCAATCTGCCCTCCTCTGAGCCTTTGCTTCTTCTGTTGCTCTTGTCTAGGACGGACGTCCAGCCTGTCCCGATTTCCTTCCAGCCCCACCCACCCCAAGGCTGCTCACACCCTTCCCATCTAGTTTTCCATGTAGTGCTGTACTACTGTGCCTTGAACATGGTGCTTAGTAAATACTTATTACGTTGAAACAGAATTGAGTTTTTGACTAGAGCAGGAAAAGTTAACCAATTAATTCTAAGATATTTTTCAACCCTACAATTCTAATTGTAGGAGGTTCAACCAACTGACTCAGAATCCTGGATATGCGTTAGTTTATATGTCATTATATCAAAGCAAAGAGTTTTAAATGTTGAATTCAAGAAAAATAAGGGAAAGGTTATGTATAAAAGTGCTACTAAACAGAAACCTATGTTGCTACTGAGAACATTACAACAACAACAAAATAAATATTTAACAATATACCAATGGCACAGAAGATATTTTATTATTTTATTAGCCCCTCTCAGGGAATCTCTTACCTGGAATACCTTTTCCATAATTTCTCGGTCATATACTGGAATTTGCTTATAATTTCGGAATTCTGGCACCTCTTGGCTTCTAAGACGAAGAAGCCTGAATCGTTTGGATCTATTTAATTCCTCATCTGGAACAAAGTTAAATTCCTGTTGCAGCTGTTCCAGTCTAAAGAAATCAGGGACGTAGGATTCACCACTGGTAGCAACCTATAAAAAACAGAAAATGCAAAACTCCAGATGAGAAGCAGATTTCATCCAAAGAAACCCAGCACTATGCTTTTGGGAATGTTTAACACTTTTAGCTTGAGAGACTTAAAAGGCAAAATACATTAAAATATAATAGTAATAAGGTAGATGCTATTATATTTACTTAGTGGCTATAAAAAGTACCACAAATCATTTTTCCAAAAAGATAAAAATTATGTGTCACTTTTGTTGTGCATGCTTCCCTAAAAGTGTTATTATGAAAATCTCTGCTGAAAAAGGAGAGATTTATATCAGACTTCAGTGTATTACTAGGTGCCTACTAGTAATAAGATAACTCGTATACACAGTGTATATAAAATTCAGTATATGTATGACTTCTAAAGGCCCCAGAGTCAGCTGGTCAGTGTCATTTGGCTTCATGGCCATGCTTTCCTGTTTCTGAATAGCACCTCCCAGCCTTAGTCATTGAGAAAAGTGAGCCAGGGATGGATCGGGCAAGCCAGGCTCCACAGTGGCACCAGTGAAGTGTAAGCTGCACTCTACCCAGGTGCTCCTGTCCCTCGGCCTGGTGCTTTGTCAGCTGTGATAAACCTGGGCAGAGAGAGAGAGAGAGCCAGTGAGCAGAGATTTGCTGGGGCCTTGCATGGGAAAGGTGACCCTGCTGTGAAAATCCTGGTCAGGAAGGCAACCCTGTGTTTTTCTCTTCTGTGGGAGACGAATAGTTCAAAGGAAAATGATGAGTGTGATATGTGTACTGTACTTCTGCTGATCTAAAGACAGCAGCCAAAATGTGATCTGAAAGCTTCACACGGAATGGATTACACTTTAGGTAAGGTGGCCTATTCTTCCTACTATTTTTATTATCCACATTAAGAAGTATCATGTTAGAAGGTGAGTTTATAAAGACAAAAGTCAGAATAAACCAAAGCTTGTTTTGCAACTTAGACTAGAAGCAAAATGAAAATTTTCATATCAGTTATAATTACTCCACTGATGAACTCATACAAATAACCATGATCCCAGAATGTGTTGCTATGGCTACCCTCTGGATCATCTACTTGTTTATTATGTTTTCGTTTGAACTTGGAAGTTGGCAGTAAAACCAACTGTGTTTGCTACCAAGAAAAATAATTTGCTAGCTAATGTTCCATTTTATTTATAAATTCAGTGAAGAAAGAATTTTGAATGTTACAGTAGCTACAAACAATTTATCTGGTAAATACTTAAATGAAAACCCAATCATCAAACAAGAAAACAAACAAAACAAAGATTCTTAAAATGCCGCATCAGTACTTGAAGGTGGGATGGAAAGTACAAGAGCCCTGAAGTCAGATCAACTCACTCACTGTGTGACCTTGAGCCAGTAACTCTGAGTCTCTGAACTTAGTGTCCTTACTGTAGAACGGGGAAAAGACAACCTTTCCTTAGAGGTTTTACAGAGGTTAGAGGTAAGCGTAACAACAATAACGGCTAGTACTGATTGCATACAGATCGTGGGCCCAGCTAAGTGTTTATATGTAGCAGCTCATTTCCTCATGACCACACTATGAGGGCAACACAGGGCTCAGAAGCACTGAGTGCTTGCCTTGGTCCCACAGCCAGGTAAGCAGCAGAGCTGGAATTTAAACCTGTTCAGCCCAGCACTCATGTTCTTAAACAGTATTGCATAGGAGAACACAGAGTAAAAGAAAGTGTGTAATGGGCCGAACCATTTCTATCATCACACCATGTCAAGAAGCAGCATGTGTGCCTCTTGCTATGTTACCGAGATCAGCTGCATCAAAGGGGCATTGTTGGGGTCATTCGGGTCGAGCTTGGACTCTGCTGCCCACTTGGCCAACTTCTTCATGTCTGTCAGTCCCGATGTGCCAATAGATGAGATGGCATCTGCTCTCTTCAGAGCACTGAAAACAAAACAAATGAAAACAAAAAGTTGATTTCATGAGACTGACTTTAGAACAGAGAAGTCTGCATCAGGACTACAAAACCCCAGGGTCAGCACTGCTTAAGGAAACTATTATCCCCCACGAGAGAAGAATCTTATCATAAGGAAGGACTTTTGACATTTTTCTTTACTTGATGATTACTATTAAATATATTATAAGGGCAATAAAGAAATACAAATGGAAAAAATGCAACGTGACCCATTCCTACAACTCTGTTCCATGCATTAAAATGCCCCCCAGTCCCTGAATCCCAGCCAATGAAGAGGAGCCTCTGCATCTGGTGCAGGAAGCCCCCTAATTCTCACATCCCAGGCCACTAGGGATTACTTGTAGCTGAGGATAAAACAACAGGAAAAAAAAAAACAAAAAAACCAACACTTAAAAGACTTAAGCACCAACTTTGGACACATGGAATTCAAAGGAGACCAAGGTGGTCAGCATGACTGAGTTGGGGCTTCATCAAGAATCCTGCATATCTTATTACTCACGTTGTGTTTTACCTCCTCTCTCCTGATGCCTAAATCCCCAGCAGGTTTCTCTAGCACTAAACCCAAGTGAAATGGGTGCAGAATGATTGTCCACTCAAAGGCATTGGCAAGCCTCCACTAGAAGGGGCTCCTGATTAGAAAGTGCAGAGCGGCATCTCCTCCAGGTTGTTACCACGTGGGTATGGGCAGTCGGTATGGGGATGGAGAGGCCGTCAAGGGAACAAAGAAGCCTGTTCTGTTTTCCTACATGTTGAAAATGACACTCTGTGACTTGGAAAGAGTCTTCTCGATGGCCAGGATAAATCCTTTTATTTTAGAGATGGGGCAGCTCAAGTCTAGAATGGTGAAATGATTGACTCAAGACACATCTATTGGGAAATGACAGAGGAAGACTTGAACCCAGGCCACGGGCTCCCACAATCCGGACTGCTGAACCAGCATCAACCAGAGAAGGGGCAGCCTAGGGGAAAACTGATGAGGCCCCGAGTCCCTTTCTTCTGTTCTGAGTAGAGACCTAAGGATCTAGCAATCAGAGAAGGGGACTAGAGAACAGGGACTTCTATGTAATCCGAAGGTTCTACACCAATCATTATTAGCAACAAAGCTTTTCGGGGGGCCAAATACATACAACTATATGTTCTGCACCTCCCCATCTGTAAAATGGGTAAAAGAATACCCCCCAGAGTTATGATAATGAAATAAGGTGAAGTGCTTCTCACTGTATCTGATACTAATAAAAACCCATTATTGGTTATTAATACCTTAACTTTTACCTTAAGAATAATAAAAACCTCTGAACCCTGGCACCTGACAATGAGAGGAAAGAATATGGTATTGCAAGCTTTTCCTGCCTTGGATATCTTTAATGCTAACACTGGCATTGCTCATCAGTCTATTCTAGCCACACATTACCTTCGAAATCCAATGTTCTGCTGTGACAATGGGGGAATTAAAGGTATTCCGTTTTCTCCAATGGCCCATGCTACTCTGTGGGACACTTTTCCCGAGGTCATTAGAATCAGTTGATTACTGCCATCAGCTTCAAATGAGAAGGGCACTCCTAGGGAAACACCAGATTAAACAGGATGTTGTTTAGAAAGAAGAATTGAGCCCAGTCCTGGCAAAAAAGCAGGTAGTAGGCAAGTGGAACTTGGTGTGGGTGGGGTGGCAGGACGGAACACATAATTCAAGCCAACGTCACTGAGTTTCTTCGGATGATGATGCTCAGAATCAGCCTCTTGGCTCTATCTCTGACAGCAGAGTCAGAAGTCACCAGGATATACCCTAGAGTGGGACACCTGTGTGCATATTCTGGCTCTGTCACTTCACCGTTGTATGGCCTTGCACAAATTAACTGTTCTGAGCTTTCATTATGTGTAAATTAGGGATAATAATAGCATCCCTGTCAAATTGTAAAGACATTCATTCATTCATTCATTCATTCAATAGACACTTATTTGCGCTCCTATTTCATGCCAGGCACTATTGCAGACGCTGGAGATGGCAGTAATGTTCTCATGGAATTTATATCTGAACAGGCAGTAGAGATGATAACTAAGATAAAGTAAGAGAAATATTTAGTTAGCTACAGAATAGTAAATGCTAAGGAGAAACAAATTAGGGAAGGTACATATAGAAAATTTGTGCTTTGGGAGGAGAGGAGGCCATGGAAGCCTTGGCAAAGGTGATGTTTGAGTAAATGGTTGGAGAAAGTGAGGAAGTGAGATATGTAGATATTTTGGGAAAGAACATTCCCAGCAGAAGAAATAACAAGGGCAAGAACCCTAAGGTGGGAGGGAGGAACATGACTTTAAATGAGTTAATACTTGCAAAGCACTTAGTGCCTGGCGAATAGTGAGTGCACTACAAATGTTAGCTGTTACTGAGCTACTGTGGCTGCAGGAAAGCCTCACTGATCTGGTTTCCACCAACTGGAAATTAACCCTAACCCTAACTCTCTAGGCAGTATGTTAATCAGCTAAAGGAAGAAAAGATTTTCGAGCACTAAATATAGTAACTTTACAGTCTGGATTTCCAGTTACTATTATTAACATAAACAACAGCACTATTACACTGTAAGAGCATCTTTGTGTTTTTTCAGAAATCTTTCCTTCATATCAAACAACCCATCTTGATCTTCACAATAACCGTAGAAGACATGAAAGGAGGTATTGTTAGATCCCTTTTATGAATGAGATTATATTCAAAGTGATTACTTGACTACTAGGTCACAGATTGTGAGTATCAGAGCTGGAACTAAAATCTAGGTCTCCAGACTTCTAGACTGGTGATTGGATTTGGGCCTCAAAGAACGTGTGCAGATAGTTCCAGGTGGCTCACAATAAAAAATCACCAGACGCATGAGGAAACAAGCCACCATGAACAAGAAGCAACAAACAGACCAATAAGGAGATAGGTAGTGGAATGATCGGTTACAGAATATTAAAAAACATTTTTAATGTTTAAATAAGATGAATGAGTGAATGAATAAAAAGTGATCGAGAATCTGAGGAAAGGACAAAAAGCTATCGTAACTGAACGGACTGATTGGAAATGAACTAAATAGAATTTTTAGAGTTGAAAAATACAATAACTGGAGGGAGAAACACAGTGATGAGTTCCAATAATTAGATACAGAAAAACAGTGAATTCATGACTTGAAGACAGATTTAAAGAAATTACATAGAATGTAGCAGTGAAAGAAAAAGATACCAAATATATTAAAGAAAAGAAACATGGAGGACAGAGTAAGAAGGTCCAGCACATATCAAATCAGAAGTGTAGAAGGAGATAATAGAGAATAGTAATGAAAAACCTCCGTATTACAATTATTGAGGTTATTTCAAACTTTTCAGCCTTATAAATAACAGTGTGGGACTGGATGGTTAGCTCAGTTGTTTAGAGGATGGTGCTGATAACAACAAAGTTCAGGGTTTGATCCCTGTATTGGAAACCTGCCACAAAGAAAAAAAAAGGCGATGTATTTTTCATGCACAAAGCTTTATCCTTGTCTCAAATTATTTTACTTAGGAAAGATTCCTAGAAACAGAATTAAAGCATCAAAGAGCATTTTAAAGGTCTTTAATTTGCACTGCCAAACTACTTCATAGTTGCAAAGTGATATGAATTTACATGGCCAACAACAGTATATAAAAAATGACTTTTGAATATCATCACTGTTTAATTTGAATTTCTAGGCAATTTTATAATTATCTGTTTATATGAGAAGTGGAAAAAACATATTTAAATCTGACAGTAAAACCATGAGCCATTGAGGATAGCTAGCTTTCCATACCACTTCCAACTCCCTCGTGGTCCAGTGTCACATGCTGGTTGCTGCTAAACTCCACTTCTTCAATGGGAGCCCTTCCAGTGACAATGGTAGTCTCAGGAATAGGCAGAAACACTTCTGCTAGCAAAGTGGTACCACTGTGTCCAACTGTTTCATAGACCTGAAAACCGAAGAAGAGAACCAGTCAATAAAAACGGCAACAGAATGTGCTCATTCTCAATCAGTCCACATCGTTAGTGTTTGTGTTCCAGCCCAGAGTGGAAAGTTGAGTTTGTTATTACGGTCCCCATGGAAATCAGCTTACATCCTATTTGTGGCCAAGTTGTTGACACCTTGTTTTCTTGTCTGGCCTTATCTCCTGGGGTAGGGAGGTTGATCAGAACAGCAGGCAATGGCAGTTGTTTCTAACCCAAACCAGCACTCAGTCACTCGGAGAATGGGCTTCCTCCTTTTCCTGGTTCAGGTTGCTTTCAGAGAGCAATGACATTAATGGAATATTAAGACATCTCACTAGATGGTTTATTATCTGCACCGACCTCCAAGTCAGTAGAAGAAGCTCCATATCCAGCAGCACTCCAGGGTGTCGTGTTTAAATCTGCTGTTTAGTAAATCTCTCAAATTCTTCCCTTCCAGACCTCATTATGTTTGTTAGCTCCTGAAACCCCACCCAGCTCCTTCTCAGACATTCTCCCAAGACAGAGTCAACTGGACCACTTCACCTACAGCTCTGATACTCATTACCATGGTGTGTCTCATTATAATGCCATCACCATGAGGTGAAGGACCCATTGCCAGGGCAACCATAGATTAAGATTATACAATCCAGCCTCCGTTAGACCCTTTGATTTATTTCCAAGTTTTCCCTGTATTCTTGGCTCATCTCACTTTTGTGATAAGATGACTAAATATTCCACAGTTCTGCTGGCTTTTATGTTTTATTCTTTCTCTCCATGAGGTCTCTCTGACTGATACACATTTGTCTAAAGATGATTTTACTACTTTTTTTGACAAGTCTTTGTATTTTTCTTCTTATACAATAAAATCCACTTCTAATTAATATTTTCTATTTATCACTTGAATGCACAAAGATGACACTATGGGTCCCCTCCACCCATCCTCCCTTACACGGCATACAATCTGCATTCTTTTCCTAGAGTGAGGATGAATCTGTGCCTGGCTACCCTCTTGGCCTCATCTCCCTGGTACTCATCAGCTCACATTCACAAGACAGCCAACTGAGCGTGGAGGGACTTCAAGGGCAGAGACACAGGCAAATATTGCACAGGAACTGAATTCAGGACCCTAGACTGAATATCACTGTGAGATGTTCTAACTGGCTGGGTCCACCAAGAGACCTGTGATTGTTCAGGCCTAACCTGTGATGGGATGGCCAAATCTGCCTAATTCAGGGGCTCGGCAGGAAACCTGTGAATGGCACACTCAAGCCACACTCTCCAAATTCATCTTTATTGGTAAAAAGAGGGATATTTTGGTCTACATTTAAAAACCTTCTTTGGAAAATTTTAATATTATAATATGCCATGAATCCATCTTCCAGCTTCAACTATCACCATCTTATGTCAATATTATATCACCTATACCCTCAACCCTTTCCCTCCCCTTTAAAATCATGAACTTAGACATCATTTCCTCTGTAAATATTCCAATATGTATCTTTAAAAAATAAGGATATTTAAAAAGCATAATTAAAATACTATTATCATAGTAATTTCTTAATAACATCAACTACTGGTAAATTTCAAGTTTCCTTGAGAGCCTCAAAAAATTCTGTAGTACAGGGGCTGGCCTGTGACTCACTTGGGAGAGTGTGGTACTGACAACACCAAGGCCATGGGTTTGGAGCCCTATATAGGGATGGCTGGTTAGCTCACTTGGGAGAGTGTGGTACTGACAACACCAAGTCAAGGGTTAAGATCCCCTTATGGGTCATCTTTAAAAAAAAAAAAAAATTCTGTAATACGTTATTTGAATCAAGACCGAAATGCATTTCAATACATTGCAATTGATTGCTATGTCCCTCAAGCCTCAGTTAATTTCTGTAATCCTTCCTCTTTTTACACATTTTCTCCATATTTTTATTGGTTCAGACTCTGACAGGAAAGAGTGCCATTTATTGCTTGTCCCAGAACTCTTAAGAGCCTACAGTTCTGTAATTTCACACAGCTTAAAGAACCCATAGTAGGTTGTTGTTTATTACACAGGAGACCTTGTTTTGACCTATGAAATTATAAATAGTCTTATGGGAATGAAGTTTCAGCCTGAAAAAATGGTGTATTTTATTTCATTTTAAAATTTTTTAACTTTTTGCCAAAATTTTAATTCATTGAGCCATTCTTTGTATGAAGCCCGCTAGGGGCTTTCGTGTGTTATCTTGTTTAATCTTTACCGCAACCCTATGAAGGATGGTTTGTGGTGGAAATTAAACAACATAACAGACCCAACAGTTCTACATGATGGATTTGAGGCTCAATGCCAGAGAGAAATTTTTCCCAGTCATCCATCTGGTAAATCAAAAATCTGGGATTTTAATCAACAATGGTTCCACTTCAAAACTCACTTTTTGCTCTGTCTTCCTCACGGGCCAGGAAAAACCAGAAAGGTGATTAAACAACTAAGAATCCTCTTAACATCATAACCATGCTCCATAGTATAAAATTAGTTTAGACAAATTGATGAAAAATAGTGAGTGATTGAAAGAGAACTTAAAATCTGAATGAAAGAACAGGAAGAAATGCAAGTATAAGAAACTGGTTGATGGACACAAAGAATGATCACGTTTTATAATGATGAATATGCTAACTATCCTGATTTGATCATCACATATTGTACACAAGTATTGATAGTCAACTCTGTAACCCACAAATGTGTATAATTAATTATGTTTCAATAAAAAAAGTTTAAAATAATTTAAATGGTAATTTTTATGCTATGGATATTTTACCACAATTTTAAAACATTAAAATTTAAATTAAAAAAAATGGAAATACAGTTTTAAAAAAAAGCCAATAAACAAAGCTTAGAGCATCACCTTAGCATATGTGATAGTGGCCAAAAGACCACTGAACTCTTCCTGTCACAGACTTCTTGGTTGCTAACTACTCCTAATGTGGTTGCTGTCTCAGCAAGACAAGGGTGCTCTGTTCACTTCAATTCAGGTACATTAACATGCTGTCACATGCCCACATTTTACTGAGCACTGAGGTAGGCATGCAATAAGTTGCCAAGTATTTACTGCAATGCACTGAATGTGTCCTCTCAGAGCTCATACGCTGAAATCTTAACTCCCAATGTGATGGTATTATGAGGTAAGCCCTTTGGGAGGTAATTAGGTTATGAGGGTAGAGCGCCCTCATGAATGGGTTTAGTGCCCTTATAAAAGGGACCCCAGAGAGCTCTCTTGTCCTCCTGCCATGTAAGGATAAAACAGGACAGCAGGCTTCAGCCCAGAAGAGAACCCTCACCAGAGCCTGACCATGCTGGCACTCCGATCTCAGACTTCCAGCTTCCAGAACTGTGAGAAACAAATTTCTGTTATTTATAAGCCACCCAGTCTGTAGTACTTTGTCGTAGTAGCCCAAACTGACTAGGACACCTACCAATGCCCACTCATGTGCCACCACCATACCCTATGGTTTCCGTATAGAACACTAGTCCTCTCTACCAAAACTCCTTATTTACATGTCGATTTGTCTCACTGGATAGTGAAATTCCTGACAGTAGAGTTTGTTTGATTTGTTTGAATGCCCAGGACCTACCATCTGTGAATTAATATATCTAGAAGGGTGCATGTTAACTCTTAATAGAAGGCATTAGATGATAAATCCATGAGATGGAATTATTCTCTTCTCTGAACAGCTGGTAGACCTGGTTTAAGTAATGTGGCTCCCAGGTTTTTTTCATGTGTCCTATGTTACTCCCCACTGACTGTCAGCTGCTTACACAGCCTGCAGAGGGCAGAACAGGGCAGCCTCGTGGTCCAAAAGATCTGGGTCTGAATCCTGGCTTTGCCACTTAACAGCTGTGTGACCATGGGCATGACTCCAAAACTTTGCTTTCTCTGTTTTTGCTGTCATTTTTAAATGAGGATGTTACCTAAAGCTTAGCAGGAAGACAATGGTGAAGCCTAAGTGAGATGGATGAAAAGTGTCTGCCTTTCAGTATGAACTCAATAAATCCTCTCCTTCTGTTGGGCATACATTATCAGCAAGCACATGCATTTTTATAGTACTTTGCAGTTTGAAAAGCTCTTTCATAAAGATGATTACATTTCCCAAGTGTTTCATGAAATCTTGTTGGTGAATTTATTTTAGTAAACTTTATGAAATAAACATTTTATTTAAATTGAATTTAAATTTATAAGATCTATCTTTTTAGGACAACCTATATATATATTTTAAACAAATCTGTTAAGCTGCTGAAGATTTATAGGAATTTGATGGTATATTCCTTATTTGTAATTACATCATCAGGGCCAATAAAAATATTAAAGGGGAAACTTTATTACTTCATCTGTATCTCTGGGTTCCCAAAGGTAAGGAGGTGAAAATGAACCACATCAAGGCTTAATTGCTTTAACAAAAAATTCAGGAGCTAGTGAAATCCTGATATTACCTTGAGTTAAGTGAATAGAAAACATATTCATAATCAGAAAATGCCATTTATGATGATGATAACATACTTCAGAAAGTGATATAAATGTAGTATTTAGCAAAGATGTTCCTTGACTTATGATATGGTTATGTCCCAATAAACCTATCATAAATCATAATATCATAAGTCAAAAATGCATTTAATACCCCGATAAACCCATCGGAAAGTCGAAAAATTGTAAGTTGAACCATTGTAATTTAGGGACCATCTGTTTTCAGTTAAACCTTTCCTGACCTAGTATCTCCTAACTACTCCTAGGATTACAGAATTCCAAAACACTCAATACCCAAGACAGCTAAATTAGGATGTGAAACATATTTTAAAATAAGAACAAATCCAAATATTTTTCAGATACCTACAACCCCTTCTGTAATAAAGGAATCAAGTGTTTGTTTACTCAGCTGTGCAGGACAAAGTTCCTATATTATATGACTCCAGTGGCTTTGCAAAAACATCCCTGTTACACTTTATGGGTTCATCAAATATTTT